GGGGAGAGGCAGAGAGAGAGGGAGAAGAAGGCCCCCCGCTGAGCCAGGAGCCAGCCCTGGGGCTCGATCCCAGACACTGGGATCATGACCTGAGCTGAAATCAAGAGTCAGATAGAAGTAACATTTTAGCACTTTATAAGGATGTATCCAACAGTATTTAGTTTATGAGTGACTGATGGATATTGTTCAGTTGTTCTGTGCTAGAGTTACAGACTTGGAATCTTTTGTCATCCATGCTTGTTGTCTGACTCAGCTGAACTACTGTGTTCAGGAAGAAGGAAGTGCAAAATCTTTTCATGTATTCCTGATATATGAATACAGATTTATACAGATTTAGGTATCCCTTAGTAAATGCTGTTTAACTAAGTAATCAAAATGGAATAAATCAAATATTCTTCTTGAAGCTAACACTCCAGTTCTGATAAGAAAAAAGGCAGGTTAGCAGTGGACTGTGAGTGGGCTTTCCTAGAAAGGGCATGAGGCAGAGAGCCTGGTTTGGCATCCTTAGTATTTCCCTGACTCTCTGAGTTTCAGTTTACTGATATGAAAAATACTAGTTTGAGTCCAGATGATCCATAAGTTTCTGGTTTCTGTGATTTACTTATTTTTATTATTTTTAAAAAGACTTTATTTATTTATTTGACAGAGAGAGACACAGCGAGAGAGGGAACACAAGCAGGGGGAGTGGGAGAGGGAGAAGCAGATTTCCCGTTGAGCAGGGAGCCGGATGCGGGGCTCGATCCCAGGACCCTGGGATCATGACTTGAGCCGAAGGCAGATGCTTAACGACTGAGCCACCCAGGTGCCCCAGGAGTCAATATTTTAATTAAAAAAATTGTTCTCAAAGATTTCAGATGAAAAGAAAGATCTTACCACCTTAATGTAATGGTGGAACACATCTTTACATCAATTTCTTATGATAAAATTTGGTCCTTCTACTGCAAGGCTTCTCAAACTCAGCACTACTGAGATTTGGGGCAAGAGAATTCTTTATTGTGAGGGATTGTGAACTGAAGAATGTTTAGCATCATCCCTGACCTCTACCCACGAGATGCCAAGAGCACCCTCCACCTCCCCCCACCCAGCTGTGATAACCAAGAATGTCTCTAGATATTGCCAGATGTGGACAGTGTAGCAGCAAAATCTCCTACGGTTGAAAACCACTATTTTATACTAATGTCTGACTGCTTGCATAAATTATTTTATTTTTTTTTAAATATTTTATTTGTTTATTCAAGAGAAGAAAGACAGAGAGCGAGAGCATGAGTGGGGATGGCAGGGGAGGAACAGAGGGAGAGGGAAAAGCAGATTCCCCGCTGAGCAGGGAGCCTAAAGCGGCGCTCCATCCCAGGACCCCAAGATCACGACCTGAACTGAAGGAAGACACTTAACTGGCTGAGCCACCCAGGTATCCTTTAAATGTTTATAGACTTATCAAGGAGGTTGTATTTTAGAGCATTCGGTCGGCCTGTTTATATGACAGAGAAACTGAGTGTTAGAGAAGTTACAACCTGCTCATAAATCCTCAGACATCAACTGAACATGTGATCAGTGCTAATTCGTATTTCACACATCTTCCTGATAGAGAGTATCTGCAATTTTATATACGTATTTTACATTTGTAAATAATCCTCTGCTTTGAAATTCACATTCTCCTCTGTATTTTCTCATTTTATTTTCATAATAACTTGTGTATTTATTTTGTTCACGTTAGAAAATTCTGGCCCATGCAGACTCAGTGATATTATCAAAGGACCTAGGACAGGGATTCAATTGAACATCTAATTCCAAATCCTGAGTTCATTGGATTACTCATTACAGTGTCCTCAGTTTAATATTGGGAATATTAGAACTCTATACTGAGTTTCGCTGGTTTCTCTTAGGCACTGAAAGAGAAAAATAAAAACCCTGCCAATTACCCTTTGTTTCATGGCACTCAAATAATAAATACAGGATTTCTCAGGCTACCCAAAATTGTCCCATTAAGTTCAGTAACATACTTAACCTATCTACCTCACAAAATTTCTGTGATTGTTTCAACCCCTATGTATGTCCTAGAAAGACTGAAACAGAAAAAGTCAAAAGATAAAGGGAACATCCACGTTACTTTTCCCTCTGTTGATTTAATTTTAATACATAAGAGTGAAAAGGTACATGTCCAGCTAGTTATCCAACTTGTTCATATTATATGATAAAGATAGATCTTTCTGTTGATACATGTATTCAACCTGCTTTATGATATAAGTTAAACACAATATGAGTTAAAATTTAGTCCTTATCCTACTGTGGGGGAAAATACTGTGTTCTTATTTTTAATCAGGGAATTGTTCTAAAATATAGACAATCTATGAGAATGAAAATTTGAAAAACATTATGTAAATTTCTTATAAAAATTCAATCTGCTTTTAAATATACTTTATTAATGTATTTGTAATAAGTTGTCCTATTTTTATCTCAAATGCATTAAGTTTCATGTTAGTGAGTATAAACTGTTATTTTCCTTTTTATCAAATAGTGATGAGAGCACTGTATGGCACTGAACATTGGACATCTCTCTCAACCAAAACTTGATTTAACTTTAACACTCCCTCAAGGTGGTCATTCTTTGATGACTATAACTCACCTCCTCTCGATGCTCATCTCCTGACCGCTGGATATACCACTTAATAGATGCTTGTTGGGATTTAGGTATACATTCCAGAAAGGTTGAATTAAATTCAATGCCAAAAATCACCTTTTCATCAGCAGTTTCATGACTAATGCCTGGAACGCAAACATGGAATAGAAGATTAACCTTGACCTTATTTTAAAAGCAATGGGAAAATAGACTGATTTAGAACAGATGCTATGGGGGAAAGATTCATTTTACATTATTAAAGAGAGAGGAAATTCATGATATGATATTGTTACCTAAGAGTCAAATATTATCTAATAGATTGACTTTTAAAACTCTATTCCTGCATTGCAATGTTTACCCTTACATGAATATATTAACTATTTGCAACTGTTTTTTTTTTTTAAATAAGAATTCATAAGACCTAACTCTAAACATTGAATCACTTTCTCTGAGCTGAACTGAATAAAACTTTAGTGTCTTTTAATGCTTCACACGTTTTAATTTGTATAAAATATAACCAATTTAGTGGATAGTTCCAGAAGAGGAGTTTACTTCATCTTTTAAGAGAAATTCTATCATGAATTGATCCACAGAGCTGACCATATAACATTAAGACATTTTAATACCAACAAAGTAAGTACAATGGTCTGTACTTGATAAACTTCTATAAAGATGATATTGAGCTAGATGCTCTAATACTCCGAATGTGGACCTTATCCGTATTATCTACCAAAAAACAGTTCTCTTTTATTCAAAGAGGGGTACTTAAGCCCAACATGCATTTGCTATAAGATAGTTAATGGGATGCTAAAGGAACAGTGTCTCAGACACCTTATTCTCGTAAATCAACTGCAGCATCTGAAATACATTCCATTCAGAGTAGCCAAAGGCTGTGTCCCATGTGTGATCTAAGATCTGTAGCTCAAATTTGATCAAATAAAAAATGACGCTGTTCAGCCTGGCCCAAACATGCACTTTTTCATCATATATTCAGAAGTCTCAAATCTGCAGATGGGCCTACTTAGCATTTTAGGCATAAACGAAGAGTAAGGCTTACAGGACTTTTGTGAATCCTAAATGTAAGCACACAAAATTATCAGCAAATGGCATGAATGCACATTTATCCAATACTTAGACTTTCCTTTGAAGAAACTTCTTTTGAACTTGTTTGTGTTTTACCAGCAATGATTAAGTCAGGCGTGTTGACACCATTATGAATTAACCTCATCTCATTTTCAAAATGTGTAAATTCCATTTGAAACTTGTAAGATATCCATTATCCCTGCCAATTCAACAGATTATATCTATGATTTTCACAGTTAATAAATTCCTAATGCACAGAAAGATCGCCAGTGCCAATCGTGGAAGAGAAAGACATGCATTATTTCATAGTAACAGATGCCATTCTCCTGAGAAAAAGGAGTTTGTGAACAAAGCAGGGAGCTTGCAGGCTGATTGTCAGGTGATGGGGCAAGGGCTGGGGAGAAGCTAAATTAGACTGATTTAACCAAAGAATCGGTCAAGTTAGTAAAAGATAAATAAGCAAAATTAACGAGAAAAGTGAAATAGCTGATTGTACAGAATCCTTTTTCAAATCAGTAAAAACAGTGACCCTTTGACACAAAGTCATTCCTATGTCAGTTTGACAGGAAATTCATTTATTGTTGTCACCAGTAATTTTTGTTTCATTTCTGAGTTTTAAATTTCCTATTTTTTAACTATCTCATTTACAATTGTATCAAAACTTAACTAAGGAGGCGAAACACTTGCACACTAAGAACTATAAGGAATTCATGAAAGAAACTGAATAAGGCACAAGTAAATGAAAAGGTATTTCATGCTCATGGATTAAAAGAATTAATATTGTCAAATGTCCATACTACTCAAAGCAATCTACAGGTTCAATGCAATCACGATCAAAATTCCAATGACATTTTTCACAGAAAAATAAACAATCCTAAAATTTGTATGGAACCATAAAAGACTCCAAATAGCCAAAGCAATCTTTAAGAAAGAAGAACAAAGTTGGAGGCATCACATTCCCTGATTCCAAACCATATTATAAAACTATAGTAATTAAAACAGTATGGTATTGTCATAAAAATAGACACAGATCAATGGAACATAATAGAGAGCCCAGGAATCAACCCACACATAGATAGTCAATTAGTTCACAACAAAGGAGTCAAGATTATACAATAGGGAAAGGACAGTCTCTTTCACAAATGGTGTTGGGAAAACTGGACAGCCACATGTCAAAAAACGAAACTGGACCACTATCTTACACCATACACAAAAATTAACTCAAAATGGATTTTAGTCTTAAATGTAAGACTTAAAACCATAAAACTCCTAGAAGAAAACACAGGCAGTAACCTCCTTGACATCGATCCTACTGATGATATTTTTAATTTGATGCCAGAGCACAAGCAACACAAACAAAAATAAACAAGTAGGACTACATCAAACTAAAAAGCTTTTGCACAACAAAGAATGTTATCAACAAAATGAAATGTCAACCGACTAAGTGGGAGAAGATACTTGCAAATCATATAAGGGCTTAATATCAAAAACATATAAACAATTCATACAACTCAATAGCAAAACTCCCTAAGTAATCCAATCAAAAAATGAGCAGGGGAACTGAATAAACATTTTTCCAAAGAAAACATAACAGATGGCTAACAGGTACATGAAAAGATACTCAACATCACTCGTCATCAGGGAAATGCAAATCAAAATCACAGTGAGATATCACCTCATATCTGTCAGACTGGCTATTGTCTAAAAGACAAGAAATAACAAGTGTTGGCGAGGATGTGGAGAAAAGGAAACACTTGTGCACTGTTGGTGGGAATGTAAATTAGTGCACCCACTATGGAAAGCAGATTAGACGTTCCTCAAAAAATTATAAATGTAACTAACATATGATCTAGCAATTCCATTTCTAGGTATTAACCTGAAAAAAAAAATAAAAACACTAACTTGAAAAGCTATATCGCCACATGTTCACTGCAGCATTTTTTACTATAGCCAAGATATGAAAACAACGGAAGGTGCCATCATGGATGAATGGATAAAGAAGATGTGGTATATATCTACACAATGGAATATTTTTCTGTCATGAAAAAGAAGAAAATCTTGCTTTTTGTGACAACATGGATGGGTCTTGAGGACATTAGGCTAAGTGAAGTAAGTCACAGAGAGAAAAATACCACATGATCTCCCTTATATGCAGAATCTTAAAAAAAGCAA